CGACTCATGTTGACAACGGGCAGACATGGGCACCATAACATCATAGCTAATATGCACAAAGATATGGAGGACTTGTTCTGTTTGCTTTTCATCACCGCTGTCGTCACAGTTCAATAAAAAATTCTGCTGGTATCTGATTGGCAGCTGGCCAAACATCCATGTCTTCACCAAACAGGAAACCAACAACTCCTTTTCGAGATTTAAAATAAAATAAAATTACACAGTTTTTGTTTGTTTCTCTTTTATCAGCATCACTTTTTATTGAGTTGGAATAAACCTTCAATTTCCTGAAGTGACCCCGTGGGATCACAATGAACAGTTGGATACCCGTATGAAAAAACAAAAAGGGATGCTCATGTGTTCTCTTTGATGCGTATATTTACAATAGGGTCCATAAATATTAGAACGTTGACACAATTCTAACATTTTTGGCTCTATACACCCCCACAATGGATTTGAAATGAAACCAACATGATGTGCTTTAACTGCCGACTGTCAGCTTTAATTTGAGGGCATTTACATCCAAATCAGGTGAACATTGTAGGAATTACAACAGTTTGCTCATATGCCTCCCACTTGTTAAGGGACCAAAAGTAATGAGATAATTGGCTTCTCAGCTGTTCCATGGACAGGTGTGTGATATTCCCTCATTATCCCAATAACAATGTGCAGACAACAGATCCAGAGTTCATTTCAGGTGTTATTTGCATTTGGAATCTGTTGTTGCAACTCTCAAGATGAGATCCAAAGAGCTGTCATTATCAGTGAAGCAAGCCATTGTTATGCTGACAAAAAACAAACAACCAAACCAATAAACCCATCAGAGAGATACCAAAAACATTAGACGTGGCCAAAACAACTGTTTGGAGCATTCTTTTAAAAATGAGCTCAACGGTGAGCTCAGTAATTCCAAAAGTCCCAAGAGGCCACAGAAAACAACTGTGTTGGATGACCGAAGACGGCTTGTTGGCTAGATCAAGAACTCTCCAGGAGGGAGGTGTGTGTGTGTGTGTTTGTGTCAAAGACAACATTAAGGAGAAGACTTCACTGGAGGGAATACAGAGCGCTCACCGCAAGATGTAAACCATCGGTGAGCCTCAAAAACAGGAAGACCAGATTAGAGTAGCCAAATGTCTCCTAAACAAGCCTTCACAGTTCTGGAACAACGTCCAGATGAGACCAAGATCAACTTGTACCAGAATGATGGGAAGAGAAGGGTATGGAGAAGGAAAGCATATCTCCTCATGGGTGAAACATAGCGTTAGTGTCATGGCGTGGGCATGTCTGCCAATGGAACTGGTTATCCCGTGTTTAGTGATAATGTGACTGCTGATAAAGGCAGCAGGATGAATTCTGAAGTGTTGCTGGCAATTGCATCTGCTCATATTCATTCACTGGATGGCGATTTACAATGCAGATGGACAATGACTTAAAGCATGCTGCAAAAGCTAACTATTTTTAAGGCAAAGAAGTGAAATCTTACGCATTAGCCAAGTCAATCACCTAACCTGAATCCGATTGCATTTCAATTGCTGAAGACATAACTGAAGAGAAAATGCACCAAGAACAAGCAGGAACTGAAGACGGTTGCAGTAGAGGCCTGGCAGAGCATCACCAGGGATAAAACTCAGCAGCTGGTGATGTGTGTGTATCCCAGACTTCAGGCTGTAGTTGACTGCAAAGGACTTTCAACCAAGTATTAAAAAAAGTGAAGGTTTGATTTATGATTATTATTCTGTCCCATTATTTTTGGTCCCTTAACAAGTGGGATGCTTATAGGCAGTGTTGTGATTCCTACACCATTCACTTGATTTGGATGAAAACACCCTCAAATTAAAGCTGACAGTCTGTGGGTATAGTACATGGTGTTTGTTTCATTTCAAATCCATTGTGGTCAAGTTAAGAGGCAAAAGTGTTAGAACTGTGTCAATGTCCAAAAATGTATGGACCTGACTGTATGATGCCACACTAGAATAGATGATTTGTTTTTATAACTTGAATTCTTGTTTTGTCTATAACATCTTAACCTGACATTTGGGTAGTTGAGTTCTGTGGATTTTACCTTATTTGTTGAATACAAGAACTGACCAATTTTAAAGGAGCGTGTGATCATATTAGTATATATATATATATATATATATATATATATATATATATATATGCAAAAAAAAATAAAGTCCAGTATTTTTGTTGCTAGACAAGATATTTCAGCTGATAGAACAATAGTTTAACTTCATACCAATAATTCCAAGTGTTAATAAATGTGAGCAAAGGATGTAGCTGTGTGGACTGGTCTGTTTTTTTCCCCATGCAGTTATTTTAAAATTCTTAATGACAATGCTGCCATCTATTGGGCACAAGGAGAAAGTAAAGTTTGAAATAATACATTTGTGAATATTAATCATGTGCTATGTTGTTAACCTAATCAATCTAAATTTCTAAATTTCAGACTTTGTTTAATTTAAAGACCAATGAAAGAATTAAGTCAGGTAGTCTTTGGGTAAATAAATTCAAAGTCTTTAAAATTAATGTGGTGTTACAATGAACCTGAAATGAAAAAGGGAAAAAATGGAAAGAACTGAGAAGAACCTGATGAGGCAAAAGCCAGTGTTAATAAATCATTCATTTTCACTCAAACCATAAATTGATTTTATTTATTTGAGACACAATTTTAAAACAAAATAATACAATTAATGAATAAAAAAAATAATCAGAATAAAAAAATACATTTGTTTCTGCTGCTCACTATTTTAAGATTTTTTTTATCTCCATAGTTTTTGTGAACACAGCAACAGGTGAACTAAACAAACAAACAAACAAAAAAACATTATCAAATAAAAATTGAAATGAGATTTTAAATAACTGAAATGTTTGGTTTTGTACAATTTAAGTTAAATGTTTTTTTTTTTAAATAAAAATGAATAAAGGAGCAATGCAATACATCGCCACAGGCTAAACTTTCCTAGAGTTACCACAAGGACCAATTTGGTGTGCCACCCCAAAAATTTGTTTGGCCCAGTCTGGCCATCCCTATTAAAATTTCTGGAGGCATCGCTGGAGGCACAGGGTTTTGAGAGATTTTACAGCTGAAGGCATCGTGTCAGGGTGCTGTTAGAAATCCACAAACACTGATTAATATAAGATTGTTAAAAAAAGATTAAGACCTTATTTACATTAAGCGTTAATCATTTACCTGAGATGGTTGCAAGACATACACAAATTAAGCAACTTCTTGGGGCCCCCACTCCACCATGGGGCCCCCTAAAAAGCACCAGATGACTTAACAACTTTAATACAGACTACATGATAATACACAAGGAAAAATGTTTTAAATATTATTTTCTATACTGTTGTTTGGTTTTATGGTGTAGTGATTGCACTTTTTACACATCTGGTGCAAATTTTAAGTAGCATGGCAAGCCAGACTAAATAAATATATTATTTAGTTTGGGAACGCTCCATTGATGGCTCTCGGTCGCATTGTCTTTTAAACTATCTCCGCATGCTGGAAAACGAACATACTCACCACAACGGATGTTTGTCAACGACACAATCCGCTGTTGAAGAAGGCGAAAATATATCCTTTGTCTAAATAAAGGACTTAAATACATCTAGTTCCTGATTCTAATAAAGCCCAAGTCCAAATAGTCCAAAATTGATGTAAAAGCTGTTTGAAACAAGTTGTCGCCATCTTCGTCGCATCATCCTACCCGCCAAACCAATAGAGTGCCTTGATTGGTCCACCATTGTGGACCAACCACAGTACTCTTTTGAAACCCCAATAGAGAGATGTGATTGACCAGCCAGAATGATGCTAGGGGGCCGCGGAGGTCCCGATCGAGCGTCCTAGACAAGTTTGGTCTAGTTCACTAAGCTAAATTTTAAGAGCAAAAGACAGTAAACTCAACTTATTTACTATAAATTAACTGTTGTTAATTTAAAATAGTTGAATACAACACTTAAATTACACTACATGTGGAAAGGCACATTCATTTGAACATTTTTGGTTCACTACTCTAGTAAAGTTCAAATGAATAGCCATAATAACACTGCTATGATGTAAGATGATAGTGGGTATGTTACACACAGTGTCGCCTCAGAATGAGAATCATCTGGTGTTGACTTGTTGGTATAAATCCTGCTTAGGCCCCCACAGACTTGGGCTGGCCCTGGATGGTTGTAGTCATGTTCAGTTGCAACTCAGATTTCTCATTTTGGATCTGCCTCTATCCAAAATAATGTAAAAGTTTTATTTGTTTGGAGTATACTAATATTTATAATCCTTTTGCCTCACTAGCTTCGTTTCATGCTGGTGTTTCATGTTCTTAGTTTATTCATATTCATTGAAGTATATTTTCAGGCCCCCTTGTTTTCTTTTTTTAATCCTAATTTTTATTTGATCCATTAATTAATTCAGTGATTGGCTAAAGCAAAGGCATAGTGAATTTATTTATTTTTACTTCTTGCTGCGAGGCTACCAACTGCACCACTATGCAGGCCTATCACAATACTCTAGAAAAATAAATCCAAATGCACATAATTCAATGTTTTTACCATAAAAATATGAAACTTGATTGAATTTATTTGTTACCGCTAAATCGCGGTTTCTTTTTGTTGTGTAAACCAGAGATCTGCAACCTTTTTCTGGAAAGTCATTTAATCATTCCGGCTACTAAATCTAATCTGTATTGAGCTACATAATTTATTATAAATTATATCTAGATGAGGAAACATTTCTTGCGTTCAGATATGTTCAATATCAATTACTCAGATTAGTCAAAACTTTGACCTTTTTACATTAACCCTTGATGATTAGAGCAGGAAAGCAGTAATAAAAATTCCTTTTTGCAGCATGTAATTTGGGGTTCAATAAAGGCAATAAAATATTGTAAATACAAATATAAATATATACATATATAAAATTTTCATAAGCTGTAAAGACTATTTGACTGAAGTAATATTTAAATTCTTTAAGTGAAAACAGGAGGAATAAATCAACATTTTACTTGCTATTGATGTTTTATTCTGTACAGAAGGGACAATTTGTACAAAATTAATCTAGATATATAACACTACATGAGACAAGGTAAATCATATATACAATAATAAATGAATCATATAGTACAGGTCACATACAAAAGGACACTTTTAAGTTAACATGTTTTGGAAATTATGTGTTAAAATTAAAACGGCCTATAAAGATCTTGTGGAAAGAGAGCAAGCCACCAAATTATTTCTAAATCATCTCTTTCAAATAATAGATGTTGTATTCAGCACTAAAAGAATCCTCCAAACGGCTCATAAAATTAAATACATTTCTCCCAGCAGGCAGGACCGTTTCTTCATCCGACAATCGAGACGACGGAAAATCAGTTTGTTGGAAGGAATTCGTCCAGGGTAAAAGGTACATGTTTAACATGGTAGTATTCATTTACATCTTTTTTTTTAATATTTTTTTTCTTTTCTTTGCATTCCAGCAAATACAGTATTAATACACTTAACAAGCCAAGTCACGATGTCCGTTTATTTTTATTTATCTGGCATTTTTTAAGCCGTTTTGTCCCAGCTTCGGTACACTGGGCGTGTCGAACAGCCTTAAAAAAGAAAAAGTCCACAATACTTACCTTTGGAGAAAATAAAGGAAACATCAGATTAAAAAAATAAAATATATCTAGCTGACCTTGTTGAGTTCAAACAATGGTACCTAATAAGTGTAAAGGCTTTGAACTTATAAAATCTTTCTCACAGAGATGCTTTTATAAAATCTCGCCAAAAAAGAAAATGTGGAAGTTTTTTTTTGCCTTTTTCCTTATCGCTGTGAGAAGTTGGTTTGAACAGATACTTCAATTACAAGCAGCTAAAGTAGAAGAAAAGACATAGTTGATAATTAGAAATTGGTATTTTATTATAACTTTAAATCTTTAAACCCAGAAAAAAAAACAGTAGTGGTGTATTTTTGATGATAAAAGGCTCTAAATTTGTCACATTTCCAAAGGTAGAGAGGATGTTATGGATCAACTCCTCTTTAAAAAAAAATAAATAAAAAAAATATTAAATAAAATAAAACAGGCAGCAAATAATCTGATTTTCATAAACTTTACCTAAAGCTAAGCAGAAGTACCATTGTTGGAACTGCTGGTGTAGCTATGGTCTTTTTTTAATTTTTATATAGATATTGCCAATGATCCTACGGAAGCAAGCACAAAGAAAAAAAGAGCGACATATGGCACAAAACGATAAGACGGAAAGTGCCAACATGTCCACAGGACAACTTCCCCTTTCCTCGCCTTCTTTCCAGAACATCGCAAGGCTAAAAAACATACTCAGTTTAGTCTTAAGTGTGCTGGAAGAAAAACAAAAAGTGTCCACAACTAAAGGCAGGCGTTAAAAACAAACAAACAAACAAAAAAAAAAAGCTCAACAGCCTTGGCACTGACAGGATGTCTGTTAGAGCAAAACTAACGAAGTACATGTGGTGAAATGAAAGTCTTTCGTGTGAACCGGGTCTGCTTTTGTTCCCTTTGGATGAGAAGAAAACCGAGTAGAGACCAGGACACAATCCTCAGACTCAACGTCAAGCAATTCCTATGATTCCAAGTCCGATTTGCTGTCAACGCACTCGCCTGAATGAATGAGGAACCAGTATTGTGCTGTCTGTGCTCCCAGGGTCCGTGTTTACCATGAGTGGTGAGGAGAAACTACAAGCTTGTCGCACTCTTTGTCAAATTAAGGAGAAAAACATAACCTGAGAGCAGAAAACAGTGGGTAATGGATGAACAGTTTCTGCGCTGAAGGCAGCAGGAATGGAGAAGAAGGGATTCTGAGGACAACCTGATCACGGGGACGGGATGGAAAGCTCAGCATGGTTCACCGGTGTCGTCATGAACACCGGGCAGAGAAGATGTCCATGGCTGTCGAGGGTAAAAAGGGGGCAGTAGGTGCAGCCTAGAGCCCGTCGTGGGAGGTCAACATTTCTTCAGCTCTACGGTGGACCTCCAAGGCTTTTGCGGTGTAGATATCCTGAGGCAGCTCAGATTTGCGTCTCACCATGGTCCGCTCTTTTCGCTGTTCGTGCTGCAACTGTGAGATGAAGAGAGAGAGAAGTGAATCCAACACAGTTTTTGTTAACTCAGGAAAACTATGAAAAGTTTAATCAGTCCCTTCGGGATTAGGTGGCATGTTTTGTCATAAATACCTAAAATGCCTTTAAAATGATCCAACTACAATTAATATTTATTCTAAAGTTTAGTGAAATCCTGGGATTCTGTTTCCATTTAGTACGATGATCCATTTGAAAAAGGGACATTTGACTTCATAGATGTGACATTCAATAAAAACAGTAACGATTAATTAAAAAAACATTTAGTATTCATTAGATATAAAAAGTACAATAGGAAGAAGAAGAAAATACTTTTTATAAAGTGCCTCTCAAGATATTATTGCGCCATCTTTAGGTTAAAACGCTGCACTACATTGAATTTGAACCAGCCACAGTTGATGGCTAAAAGGTACCCAGTGAGATTGCTGGTACTATATTACACAAAGTCTCAGCCATTCACAAGCTGATGCGTAAAAGAATGTCTTGGTCCCTATAGGGAGCCTAAGTCACGCCCATCTAATTCCGGACCTTGGGTTCCTGGATGAACGAAAAAATTAATGCAAATCAACGGTGCTAAAAACGCTATTTTCTAATTCCGTTTGTTTTGTGCCATGGATTTCACATATGATGTCCATGAATTTTAAAGAAGCATTTTGATACCAAGAACGTGCTTATTTTTGAACAGGGGGAAACGGTATTTTAGGTTTTGTGTGAAAATAAATCCAGGACTACGAAAGTGACGTCATCGAACCAGACACGGAGAAAACTGAGGGTAAAGCGCTGCAAGTTCAGCCAACTTCTCACAGGAGGAAAGAACCACCATAAATCTGGCCATGTGGTAAGTAGCAGCAATGCTAGGGGAGAGGAGATTATGAGCTGACGTCATATATGTGACGTGCCGGTTTCTGGTGTGTAGTCATGCTAATTATGAACTTTTACAAGCTGATAAATCTCAAAGTATGTGACTGGCGTGGTCGAAACACCCATCATTACTTTTCATTTAAATTGCAGTACAACATGTGTGTGATCCATAAGGTTGGGCATCAAGCATCGTGCATCGATCGGAACCGGTTCCAACTGTAAGTTTTTCCTGGAATCGTTCAAAGTTTTTTATTTCGATTCCTAGAATGCCGACGGAAGAAGAATCTGCGGCCAATCTCCATGAAAAATAAACGTGATCTGCAAATTGTGATTAGGGATGCACCAATCAGTTTTTTTGCTGCCGATCACCGATACCAGATGTAACCCAGAAGCTAGAACCTTAATGAGGTATTAACTAATTGGCTTACTAATATGATCCATCCTCAATTTAGATAAAATATAAAATATAAATTAAGGAAATTAACAATACTAATTAATAGATATCTAATTAACTAATAGATAATTTCATAATGAATTATTGGAAGGGTGAATAACTAAAATAACGAGTTTAATATTAAACATCGGTTAAAACAAGAATCTTGAACATCCCTAATAGAAACAGAAGAGGAAAGCTGTATACTATTGGTCCAGGTGGGAATCTGAAATTTCATTGGCTGAGAGAAATAAGTCCCGCCTCCGCGAAATAAAACCGTGCGACGCAGCTGAGCGAGAGGAGAGACAAACGGCTGTGCAGCACGCAGATACAGAAAGCAAAGACTGAGCGGTTAGAGAGAGAGAGAGAGAAAAAAAAAACAACGGTCGAGGCCGTGAAGAACCCTGATTTGGGTGCCGCATAGATAGAGGGAGAGGCGGACTTGACTCCTTCTAATAAGAGCTAGGAACTTGGAACCAACGCGGTGAGTAAAGAAAAAAGAAGAGAAAAAGCTAACGATGCAACTTAAAAAAAAAAGGAAACTTAAATAGCTTATCAAATTAATTCCATTCTTATAGATTTGTGTGGAGACGACAGAGTGAACCAATCCTCTGTAGGAGGGAACCGTTGGAGCGCGTTGGTGAGTGAACGAGATTAAATTCAGTAAATTATTAAATTCAAAAAGCTAATTACAGCAACCGAGGTGACAGCAGTGGGCTGCTAGACGTTAGATCCCAGGAGTTAACATCTCAAACTACCAGTTAACGGTGGTAGGGCATATAGGAGTTAACGGCTCAAACCGCCAGTTAACGGCGGTAGGGCATATGGGATTCCCAGGAGTTAACGGCTCAAACCGCCAGTTAACGGTGGTACGGCCTAGATGTACAAGGTCCTCAGGGGCGTTATAGCTAACGCCATAGAATTAGCAATGCGTCCCTTAACCAAACATTTAATAATAAAAAAAATAGATAAATAAAAATAAATAAAAGCTAACTGATTAGGGAGGAATTATTTTACAAAGGTGGACCAAAGGACCAGAATTTATATTTTGTTGAATTTTGTTATAGAACATTTTATTTATTTATTTATTTATTTATTTATTGTGTTACAGATATACAAGGTGTCACAATGCTGTATAGAAACACAACTAAATGTATCCTTGTTGTCATGAATGTATTTCTTGTTGAATAGTGTAGAGTAATAGAATCTAACTGAGCCTATTGAGCTGAACAATTGTTGTCATATGTAATTATATTTCCAGAGCTACTGAGAATTATTTTAATAGACAATCAAATTGATGTTATGTTAGTTGAACTGTGAACCCAAACATGATTGGCTATGCCAATAGAGTGAAGCATTTGTTTAAGTCTGTAAGACTTTATGCTGTGATGTGACGAGAAGGGTCGATGCCAACTTGCTAACAGTCCTGTTGTTTACAGGCTGGGTTTTTTTTTTTCCTTGGGTTTGATCCCGACTCCTATGATCACTCACTTGGAACGAGAACTGGATTTCTTCCTGACGAGGGAGATGGCGAGCCTTAACCACTGAACGAACCAGGACATCTCAAGTAACTGAAGAGCAGACTGCTCTCTTCTGTGAACAATCTCAACGGTGTGGTAGGAAAAAATCGCACCACCGGACTCTGACTTTCACCCCAAGCGTGGGGATTTGACTTGACGCCGGCTGACTTGTGACTCATATGATCAAATCTCATACCGACCAATTTACTATTGTCGATTGTTTTCATCTGTTTTTGTGTGTTATCTTTATGAGTTATATTTCCCATTATTATTAAAATTTAGTATATAAACCGTTTCATGCTATACCCGTGACTCCAGTCATTCTTAAACAACCTCCAATTCTCCCCGAACCTAATTATTGGCCCATTTGTTTATTTTTTCTTTTAATTATCTTATTGTATCCTGTAATCCGGTTACATAAAACTTGGCGAGCCAGCCAGGAGAATTGTAGAGTTGTTACCTTAGCTAACCATTGACTGACATCATAAGAGTGCCTGGAGGTCACAGTGGTTTGCCATTTTGGCATTATTGGTACTTTTGAGTGTTTTAAAATGGAAGTTGTGAAAACAGAAAAGGTCAAAGTTTCAAATGCTGTTTTAATCAGTGGGTTAACTGATACAGACCTTGATAACGAAGTCTTTGGGTTTATGGAAGGATTCGGACCAGTTAACAGGCGCATTAAGTTACCAAACTGTGATCAGATTATTGTGGAGTTTCAACATGAAGCCACTGTTAAGGAATTAAAGAAACAATGTTTACCCTATGACAAACCTTGTACTAGGAACCCAGATGTTTTCTTCCATATTCAAGACCTAGCCAGCGCGTACAGTCTAGAAACTAGCACATCTGCCACTGATGCCTATCTGTCAGAGCTCAGGGACATAGCTGCGCGTAGCAATCAATCATTTAAAGACCTTCTAATGGAGGAACTGGCAAAAATTGGGGAATCTTTAGGAAGGGATACCCATGCATCTGAACCAGTCACTGAACTAGAGCCAATGCTCCATAGTGACCAAGTTACATATTCCCTGCCTTTAACACCAGAAGTTAACTATATGAACAACTCAAAGGACAATTGTCCACCTACAGAGACTGGAAAACAAAACCCTTGCATTCCACCAAATCTTTTAAACACACCTGAGGTTCAGCGAGTTATTGTGGAACACATTGTTAAAAGCAGTGAGGTTATCCCTCCGCCTACTTCACAATACAGACTAAAACCGTTCTCAGGGCGAGTTCCACACCCTTCTTTTGAAACTGACTATGATACTTGGCGTAGTAGTGTAGTGTTATGCATAAATGATCCTTCACTCACCAAGTCCCAAATTGTACGAAGAATCGTGGAGAGTCTGTCAGCCCCAGCAGCGAGCATCGTTAAAGCTCTTAGTCCAAAATCCGACCCGGAAACGTACCTTGAACATCTCGATTCAGCTTACGCAGCTGTCGAAGACGGCGACGAGCTCTTTGCTCGCTTCTTAAACACAAACCAGGACAGTGGTGAAAAACCTTCCGATTACTTTCAGAGGTTATACACCTTGTTAAACCTAGTTATTCAGAGGAATGGAATTTCCTCCAGTGACGCCGACCAGCAGCTGCTCAAGCAGTTTTGCAGAGGCTGTTGGGACAGCTCGCTGATTTCAAACCTGCAACTCGAACAAAAGAAAGACAACCCGCCTCATTTTACAGCACTTCTCCTCAAACTGCGCACTGAAGAAGACAAACAGGCTACTAAAGCAGCACGCATGAAACAACACTTAGGGGCACAACGAACTAGAGTGTATTCAAATGTGCAAACAACATGCTCTCAGAGTAAAAACACTTGTGAACTGGAAATAGATGATAACTGTGATGACTTACGCAAACAAATCGCTGAGCTCAGGAGCCAAATTGCACAGCTTAAGGTTAACAACACAGATAAAAAGGCAAAGAAAACTCAAAAAGAGTCAAAACCCCGTGTGGGGACTAAAATTCCAGATGAGCCCAAACAGATTCAGCAGATAACAGCAGTGGTGCCCAGACCAAAGCCTGGATACTGTTTTAAGTGCGGAGAAGATGGGCACATAGCTTCTAGCTGTAGCAACGAGCCAAATCCAGCACTAGTTGCAACTAAAAGACTTGCTCTTAGACAGAAGCAGCGCGAGTGGGAGATGTCAAAGCCAATTGCTCA